TGTGTGTGTGTGTGTGTGTGTGTGAAGGGGGGAGGGGGGCCGGCGGGGAGGGGTGCGCGGAGAAAGCTTAACAATCCCTCAAATGAACAAATGAAACATCAAATTAGTCCGCCTGAGGGTCTCATTTTTTTGTACTTTTACATTATAACTAGTTATTGAACTAGGTGCACGATCTCAAAGCCATTTGTGAGGGGAGAAAGAATTCATTGCTGTCTCTCCATCAATAATCCTTGGCAGTGAACTATTGGAAGCATTCAAACGCGAGGGGTGAAACGCGGGTCAGGCTGTCTAACTAATATTAAAATGCGCTCGCCGTGAGTTCATGGGGCGAGAGGGAGTGCGTGGCGTTCATATCGGTTGGGTGCACGACAAATATCATGTATTTAGATGAAAATGCGACGCAGCAAAGTGGGTACGTTTTCTGAATTGTATTTATTGCATAAAGAATTCACAGCTTGTTCATTTTCTTAATTAATAAAAAAAATGCGATTTACATAAAAATACACAGATCAAGATGTGCATCAATTTAGTTGCTTATGCCTCTCTTCTTTAATCAATTCAATTGATTCAGAATCTGTTAGCTGTTTTTTTTTATACTCCCCCCCCCACACACACACACACCCCTTTTGAAACAGGTCACATGTCCAACGTAACATTTTTCATCCAAGGCTTTTCTCATTAGCTTCCAGAGTGTCAGGAAGAAAGGTTACCGAGCGGTCAGTATGGTAATGGCGAGCAGAAGAAATGGTTGGGAACAATGGGAACTTATTTTTCATCTGCTGCTGTCACGCCGTCCTTTTGTATCCGCCGTGTTTGTGACTGAATATTCATATAGGAGCCACCTCAAAGGCAGAATGCTGTGAAAGGAGAGCCTCAGTATTCTCTGTGTGCCCGCATACACTCGCGCGTGTTTGTGCATAGATCTCTTTAACGAGGGAAAAGAGAAAACAAACAAAATACGTGTTTATGTCGCTTCGAAGCGCATCAGCTTTCACGCGCACTTTTCGTGTGATTGCTAACTCACTGGCGCCCTGAAACATCTCGGAAAAGGCATGCTTCCTCCATAACCTGCTTTCACCGACGTTTACCCGACAGTTCACCTCTACAGCCTCAAACAGAAAGCACATTAGTTGTCTATATGTACCCTGTAGAACCAAATTTGCGTGCTGCACAAACATTCGCAAATACGTCTCTACAGGAATACATGGGCAACTGGAATACCTCGCCAGCCAATGGATTGCGTTGCACCTAACTCTGCTTCTGCACGTCTCTCTTTCTTTCTTTTTTTTTGCACTTGCTTGTACGTACACAGGAAGCACCCGCGATGATCCTTACATCCAGGCACTGTAACAATGCAATAACGCTGTCACGGAGTGTATTCATAGTCCACACAGATCCACACTTTGTGGAGGCAGCTAGAGAGGCCACAGAGTAAGGGAGCCATGAGCAGTGTGCGGCTACTACTGTGTCAGAGCCTGTAAAACACACCGGGAACCAGGGGTCGTTTAAAAGTGACTGATTTACGGCTTTTATTGCTCTATAAAACGCCTCTAACATCCTCGGTAGGGGTAATAGAAATGTCGTGCGCATTCTTTACAAACAGTACTGCCAGAGTTATGATATGCATTTTTCACATCGTTTTTAAACTTATTATGTAATTATGGCTGAGGAAATGGATCCCCTGGCTTGCACAGTGGCCAAAATACTGACCTACATTTATTTCACAGACTTAAAACCCATTATTATTATTATTATTATTATTATTATTATTATTATTATTATTATTATTATTATTATTATTATTATTATTATTATTATTATTATGTTAGGGTATGTGGAGAAGTAGCATGTTTGAAGAGATGAGAGAAGAATGGGAAGCCAAGTTGAGGCAGCCTTACAGCATCAGCTTACAACATAAAAGTCAACCACAAGTCATGTAACTCATGGTCAGGGCTCTAGCCAGGATTAGCATAGTAACAGCTGAGATGAAATATTGCCTTGTAGTCGTAAACATTTGGATAGTTGAAATCGAAGAATTAAATATAATTTTGCTATTTGAGCTAACCGCTGTGTATATTTTAAGGGATGCAATGTTATTTAACAACCCCCCTCAGCAGTCTAGTGATGAGCTGTGGCACGTTGTGGTGTTTTGTCTTAACTGTTATCAAGGATGCAGGTAAATGAGCTACTGCATGGCTGTGCTTTTATTATTCCCATCATGTGCAGTAAGTAGCACATGAATGAAGTCAAAATGAAGAATGAAGTAAAAAGATACATTAACATGGGGTTAAGAAGACTATTTAGACAGGTTTTAAGGTATTAGTCTCTTCTTCTGATTGCAACTGTCTGACCTGAAGAACCACATGTAGCTTAAATAAATAGTCATCTTTAGTTCATGCAGAATTTTAATATTTGATTTTTTTTTTTTTTGAATTCTTTTATTGCGTCTTTCAGACCTCCATGTTTTGTGGCTTTATGATATTTGTGATTTTAAAAACTGTCAGGTGTGCGACTAAGATTGACCCCAGCTTTGTGATTAGAAACATGCTTTGCTAAATGAGTTATATATTTTGCAAAATTGTTTTAATGAAGTGCTTGTTGCATCCTTAGGAAGCAGAACTTACTGAAACAGGTTCTCCTATTTTAAAAGACATACAATAGAGCATGATTGCCATGACTCTTTATTGTAAACACTGGTAGTGTGCACAGCATTTGCTATCCATGTGTAGATCCGGTTTTGTGTTTTCTGTAGTTGATTGATCTGAATTTTATTTTTGTCCAGCAGCAAATGATTTCTGATGTATGAATTTTTTCTATGTTCATCTTACTAGGATTATATTGAAAAATTTTGCTTTTTCATTATCTTTCATGAAAGTATAATTGTTTGGTTTAAGATTATAGAAAAATAATGTAAAAGTGAAGGTTGTTTTTTTGCTTTTCTTTAGGCTGTATCTTCATTGGCGCTCTTACCTTGCTCCACGGTTGGTCTGCTTTGAGAATTAAACCACATCTCCTGAGCATCTCACATCTCCTGTGTTGTGTTACAGACTGAACCACAAACCTATTAAATATCTGTATTTAAATCACTTTAAGTGACTCTTGGAAGTTCTTCTAATTCTTAATATCATTAAAGACTCTATCCAGAGGCATATAACAAATGTACACTGATGATAAAAACACAGCTGGATAATAAACTATGAATTGCACAAGAAATAAATATTTTTAAAGCAGATTTCAGATACAAAGAATGGTAAGTCTACTGAATGTGTTTTGCGGTTGATGACTCCACAACAGGTTCAAGATTCAAACTGGTGTGTTGGCATTGGTACAACACTGTGACAGGAAAGTAACTTTTGACAGATTTCAACCCAGATTCTGAAGCAGCTGAGTTGCGTTTGAGATCCATAGTTACTCAGTATATGTTCCAGCCTTACAACATTTTGCAGGGAATCAGAAAGGTCTTAAGAAGTCTCAAATCTACACTTTAATGTAAACATTTTTACAAAGAGTAGCAGTACAGGGTTGTGAATTACAGTTCATTGGGTCTTTTTTGTTGGTATTTTGTTTCTCTTACTTGTTTTTTTATTATGTGTTTGGTTGACACATTTGGACATTACCATTAACCTCTGACCAAAACACAAATGTCTTGATCCCGTGCAGTAATGAATCCTGTTGGAATTCACATAAATCCAAACACTTGATTAGATCTTCTGCGTGTACTGAATTAATAACATTTCTTTTGAAATAAAACACAACAATTCAGTTTTAATTATCCGCCACTGCCTAATATTTTCTATAAATTTTTAGTAGTTGACTAAGACCCGACAACAGTAACCTTAATGAAGTGTAAATGCGCTGATTGAAGGCGCTGAAGCTAAGTAACACGTGTAAAAGAGCATGCTTAAATTTTTATCTAGGTTCAATTTAAGCTGTGAGCTAGCTGCATTATTAGTGAAGATATTTTTGAAGTTCACTTATCTCTAAAATTGTAATCATAATAGTAGGGTTGGACAATAAATCGATAACAATATATATCACGATACATATGTGATTAATATCAATAGATATGTCTGAAAAAATGTTTCACCTAACTTCCATCCAGAACCGCAAACCCTTCTGGGTGATGTAGGCAGAGGTTAGGCTTTAGCCTGCACCATCTGAGACCCCACAGTTGGCTCAACCTATCAGGGCCAGTCGAGCAATGTTGGTGCATCAACTATCTCACTCACCATTTAGTTTCCTAGCAACAACCTGTTGACTACCTTGCGCATCAGCAGTTTAAGGTTTTGCCACCATGCCTCATATGCCTAATAATAACAATAAAAATAACAATAACAATGACGTGGAGTGAAAATGGGATAAAACAGGAAAAATCACACTGTCAGTTTGGCAATATTTAAGACAAAAAAAAAAATCAATAACTACTGATATGACTGATATGACACACTTATATCATGACAGTTTTCAGTCACATCTTGCAGTTCTTTAAGATGATCTATAAACGTCTTAAATTTAACCTCCTGAAACTTTCAGAGTGAGTGTTATATGTTATTAGAGGCATTTGCATGTATGGAAGCTCAGAGGTTAGATTTGGTCTTGATCTTAAGTAAAGGATTACTACGAAATGTCAAAACAAATAAAACATGGTCAAGGCATGTTCTTTCAGGGAACAACTAATTAGAAAGTGAAATGAATTGTTTTTATTTTCAGAAAGGTCCAGCTATCAGCTGTAATGTCGGTTTGTCAGTTTGCCAGCTGAACTAATACTGATAAAAAAAAAGAAGTGCCTTCATTAATTTGCAAATAACCTTTATGCAAAGTGTGCAAGCTAATAAAATGATTGGTTTTCTATTGTTGTTCTTTATCCTTGGCCAACCATTCTCCCTTTGAATAATTGGTAGCCATGGATTTTGCCTGTTTTATTTTATTTTTTTTCCTTGGTCAGCAGCTACTAGTTTTGTCCCCAAGATCAATTACCTTGGTAACAAAACCAGAGAGAGGGAGGCAGGGGGAAGATGAGGGAAGAAGGAGGGATAAAGAGACACGAGCGGACAGTGAGAGAGAGAGAGCGCTTTGTGCCCACAATGGCGACTGTAGGTATGCTAAATACCTCTGGTTCCTTATCCGGGAACTACCTCTTCCTCTGCTATTGGGCCACTGGGTCACGTGGTTAAAGTAACTTTACAGGGCTGCTCGCAAGTAGGAGGGCTTTATGGAGCAGAAAAACGACAAAGCTAGAAAAATTATTTTCCACTCCAGAAATTAATGATCATGAGCTCGTATTTGATGGAGTCTAACTACATTGATCCGAAATTTCCTCCATGCGAGGAATATTCGCAAAACAACTACATCCCCGAGCACAGTCCAGAATATTACAGCCGCGCAAGGGACACTGGCTACCAGCATCACCACCAGGAGTTATACCCTCCTCCGCGGGCGAGCTACCAAGAGCGCCAGTATAACTGTGCAAGCATCCCCGAGCCCGACACGCCGCGGGGACACGGAATACCCCACTCCGCGCACCTGCTGACGGGAAAGGGCCAGCCTGCGTCATGTGAGACCCCACAGTTGTCCATGTCCCCCGCCACCCCGCCGGCCGCAGCCTCCGCCTGCAACCAAGCCACCCCGGAGCATCCCAACAGCACAGTCTCCTCCAAACAGCCCGTGGTCTACCCGTGGATGAAGAAAATTCACGTCAGCACTGGTAGGCAACTTGTGGTGTTTATGTTCCCCCTGCTCTACTCACGCTCCTCTCTCCCCTTCTTCCCTCCCTTTATCAAGCCCCTCTGACTCCCATCTCGTTGCCAGCCCCTGCTCCGATAGCAGGGAAGCCTTTGAAATGGCACAATTGAGGCGGATTTACGACTCGGCATTGGTAATTACACCCACCATAAATTTTATAGCCGAGGTACACTCAGGGCAGCCGTATCACCATGTGGCTTCTGCTGTTATGTATTGCGCGATAGAGAGAGAGGAGGGGAGAAATGAATAAGAGAAGAGAAGGGTAAAAAAAAAATCTGAGCTTTGTGATCTTGCATTAATAATTTAGATCATGGTTGGGTGTGAGTGTCCTCTCATTACGCGAAGTTCTTAACTTCCCATTTAAATTTCCTCAAACAGCTAAACATTCATGTCTAATAAATCTTTCTGAGCCATATCTCACTTTGTTTACCCCCTCCTTTTTTTCTCCCTTCTCCTTCTACCCTTTCTCTCCACATCTCCCTTTTTTTTTCCTCCCAGTGAACTCTGGTTACAATGGGACAGAGCCAAAGCGGTCTAGAACAGCTTACACCCGGCAGCAGGTCTTGGAATTGGAGAAGGAATTCCACTATAACCGGTATTTAACCCGACGGAGGCGCATTGAGATCGCGCACACCCTGGTGCTCTCCGAGCGGCAGATTAAAATCTGGTTTCAGAACCGCAGGATGAAATGGAAAAAGGATCACAGGCTGCCGAACACCAAAGTGAGATCCTCCTCCTCTTCCTCGTCCTCCTCCTCCGGGTCCAACACAGGCTCTGCGGCCGGCGGAGTCGCCGCTGTCTCGGCCACCAGCACTGGGGCCCCCGACGAACTCACAGGAGCACAGCATGGCGAGGATATTACCAGGTTATAAAACCACGAACCATCCAGCTGGGGTACACGGAGAACTTGTTATTTATAGAACAATGATATATTTTGTTTTCGTAGCTATCTTGTGCGGTTTCCTTTAAGTCCAAAGTTATATAAAAAAAAATGCATGTTATATAGCATGGATTACTGCGAATACCGATGGTTTATTTTTTACGTGAAACAGGGTTTAATTTATTTGAAGTTCAGTTATCCTGGTGTTTTTTTTATTAAAATGAAGGAGTGAAACTAGAAAAAAAAATATACATTTTATCGAAATGTTATTGTGGGCCAATTTTTTGCCCAGCTGCCCAAGGTAAAATGCACAATCTATTTATTTCAAACAACACTGGAAGGATATCACTATAATAATAATAATTATTTTGGTATATTAAAAAAAAAGCTTGAACACAGCATTGGTTCTGAACATGTATGTTTAGAATAACAACAATGTGTGAATTTACCTCGTGTATTTCAGAAACGGGATTTTGATCTGCATTTTTAGTTCTTTGTTTTTCTTTTTAATTATTATTATTATTTGTGGTGTTGATGTTGTGTTTAGACCGTTACAAAGCAGACTATTGTGAAATGCAATAAACGGAGTTTAGTGTACTTGTGCTAATCATATTGGTCAATAAAAACGGTGAGTGTCTACTAGTTTTACATACGTATGCTCGACGTTCATTTTTGCTAAGACGAGGTCTGCTATAGGAGGATGTTTAAAAACTGTACAGATGTGTAAATACTCAACAGGACCACTGTTTTCTGACTTCTTTTTTCCCCCTGCGCCCTTAAATTAGCAACATGATGTGTGTGTGCGTCTGTGTGTGTGTGTGTGTGTGCGTGTGTATGTGTGCTTGTGTGTTTGTGTCCAGCCTTCCTTGTAATAGAATGAAGCTGTTTCCAAAAAAAAAATATGGAAAAGAAATAAGTAGTTTGCTCCTTGCATTTCGTGCAACCTCATCAGTCTGAAGGGCATTCAATTAGCGCTGCAGACAAGCTACTGAGGGCCCCATCCAGCCCACGTCTGCACTGCTTTCTGTCAGTGCTACCAAAACCAACCCCACTTTCGAAACCAAAATGCATGCTTTTAATTTAGAACTTGCATTTGTACTATGTTAGAATTGATAGACGCTTGTAATATAGCTATTTTGTAGCAAACACACACGCAGTCACCCTGCTTTCCTTTTTTTATATATATATTGCTCCACTGTGCCATGTGACTGAGTTTTCACAGAATGAAATAAATGAAAATTTAACTAAAATGTGAACTGAACGCAGATTCAGTGTTAATGCATGGTGTGGCGTGAGATATATCACAGCGAAGATGCTGACCTTTGTTGTCAGAGTCTGGCCTGCATGGGGAGGAGTGTTAATGGTTTCTTGTGTCTTTTACTTCTGCATGTACATGTCTTCTGCGTAGCAGCAAAATACATGCGGAATTAAACCCTGCAGTCTCAGGAAAAATAGACTTTAGAACTGTTTGCAGCTACTTAGGTTTAGCATTTAATTTTCTTTACTCTTTTATATATTTTTTTTTTAATTGCATTGGTTTGTTTATTTGTTTGCTGTTTTTTTTTCTTTTAGATAAATGTAGTTTGAGCATGACTCAGACCCAAAGAAGCCCAAGCATTTGATAGATTATTGAAACTGTGGCATGAATAGGTCGTATAAAATGCCTTGCGTAGTGGGAGGCACAACAACACAAAGGGAAGAGGTATTTTCCATCATCAATCTTGCACCACGGAGCTCTGTATAATGTCCTGGAAAACAGCTGTGATGATAGCCAGTTTTTGATAGCATCAAATGTTGTGTGTTATCAGCCAGAATAACTCTGAAGCATGCGCAATTGTGCGTTTGGACCCTTTAATATTGGGTTTCTTGTTTTGTTTTTTTGTTGTTGTTTTTTTTACTTATATAGTACAAACACAAGCATGTTAAAATATGCTGTTGAGACATGGCTTTTGCAGAAGGCAGTAGAATGGCGGTGAGGCGGCGCTGAAAAATGAATCGAGGAGCCTTTATGTTGTTGGACAGATTAGAAAAATTAATGTGCTCTCCGCAGTCGCAGCATCCCTCCAGCCCCTTTTCTCGGCCCTGTTGCCTCCATGTCGCGGGGCTTGAAAAGGTGCTTCATTGAAGTTTGGGGGGCGAAATGGGAGAAGGCCGAGTTCATCTTGAGGACACATTTTCTGTTCCATTAGGCTCATTTCAGTCTGGATGGCCGACCTCTCCAACCCTGTGACCTGACTCACTTTCTATGCGTGTACCTTCTGTGTGCGCCCTCGCCGGTCCTCCCTTGGCCTCGGCTTTCTTTGTGGTTTTTTCTGGGTTGCGGCTGTATAGAAGGGGCCTGCGGCGGGGCATCACTGCATGTGTTGCTCCCTTTGTTAAGCACCGTGACACCGGACAGTGTTAAACTCTCGGACCGCGCTCCTCTGTGCGTCCAGCGGAGCTGCAGCACTTCGAAAATCTGCGTTTTCCCCTCAATCTGGCGGGAATCTTCTTAGTGAGCGAGTTATTGCACAAATACACACAGTGACGTTATCCATTATTTATAGCAATATAAAATAACCACTTGAGATTATGTCTTGCAATTGCGCCTCAAATTTGACGAACTCGATGAATATTTTTACTACGGTGATTAGTGGCGTTCTCTGAGGTCTCATAAAAAGGTGCTGCGGCTATAAATAGTGTCATTTGCTGCGCTCATGTGACTTCTGCTCCCAGGTTGGCTCCGGTGTCCAAAATCAAGCTGCCAATTATAGGCGTCTCTGACAGTACTGGGACACTTGGTCACTGTGATTAGTTTTTGAACGAGGACCTTCAAGTGTTGTCTTTCTCTTTTAACACAAAAACTCCTTGGAAACTTTTCAATGAGACCTCCACAAATACTTGAATATTTAACGCTAACATTAAATTACTCTGAAATAAGTCAATGCTTGTGTGTATCAACTGAATCTCTCTCTCTCTCTCTCTCTCTCTCTCTCTCTCTC